GGGAGGGATCTTGGTGGCTTGGAATTGGGGGGACAGGGGGAATTGGAACCTGGTACCCACACGTGCTCCCTGAGGGTCTCTGGTGGTCGCTGGGGAGCAGGGCTCACGTGGGTCCATAACCCTGCCACCCTCGGGAAAGCTTGGAGGAGAAGCACAGGCCTCCCTGGCCCCCACTGTCCACTCACCCCAGCTGTGACTTGAAGAGCCACGCTCCTGCCCTCACTTCAGTTCACTGAGTGTCCTTCCTCCTAGCCTTTGTCTCCGCTGGGCCACCTGACGGGAATGTTCCCATCTTTGCAGGGTGTGGGAGCCTGAGCATCCCGAGCTGGGCGTGCAGCTCCGTCACACTCGAGGAGCAGGAGGGCCGCAAACCCTGCCCGGAACTGGGTCTGTCCCCCTCCTGCTGGAACTGGCACCACTGTTCGCTGAGTGTGCCACTGGCCAGCACCTCCCTTTTCTGGCCTCAGCTTGCTGGTCAGCAAAGTGGACACGAAACCCCATTTGGCTTAAAAGTTCATTCCAAGTGATTTTCTCTCTCATCCCTGGTGGGCTGGCTGAGAGGCAGGGAGGGTTTCAGCACTGCAGCCAGCTCCTCTCCTCTCCCTCCCCCTCAGCATGAGGGGGTGGAGCCCAATCACTGACCTTGGGCGGAATCTTAGGGCCAGCCCTACCCAGCTATGTGGTCTGGAAGAAGGCGGCTAGTTTTGGGGGGAACCCAGGGTCACGTGAACAGCCCCATATGGCTCGGGCACACACAGCCCCAGACCCAGATTCCCCTCACGCCGTGTTTCCCAATGAGGACCCATCCAGCAGCCCCTGCCCAGTCCCCGTGGGTCCACAGAGCCTAGGCTGCCGCAAGTGGCTGGGACCCAACCATGAAGATGAGAAGTGAGCGTGAGGGGGTGACTGAGCAACATGGCCTCGGGGTGCAGTGTCTGTGAAGGCACCTGGAGGGTCTCCGTGGAGGAGGGAGAAGGGTTGATTGATTGGACTGGCCCTAGCAAGCGCCTGCCAGCTGGTGTCTGACCCTGTCCATTTCCCAGATGAGGAAACCGAGGCTCAGAGCCTGGCCCAGGATCGGTCAGTGTTGCAGCCTGGGGGAGTCCCGAGTCTCTAAGCTCTCCGCCGCAATGTCTCCAGGGGGTGGGTGGGCTCTGTGAGAGGTGTGTCCCCCAAAGGAGGTTTTCGCCACCCCCTCCAGACCTCAGACCTTGACCACGGCTCTGCCCACCCACCGCCAACCTGGTGACCACCATCACTGCGCCCACCTCCATCTGCAGCTAGGTTCCAGAAACGGCTCCCTCCCTACAGCCGCTCTGGGCCTGCAGGCCTCCCTCGGCCCTCAGGCATTCTGGGCTCCGGGGCTGCCAGGGGGCCTAGCGGGAGGAGAGGGCCCTTCTTTCAATGGCCTCCATCTGATATTTTATTTTACACATATTTTTTCTGATTAGTTACAAAAAATATTTTTTCTCCGGAGTTGCAATTTAAACAATATTTGAAGCCCGCCGAAGCTATCGACCAGGCTACGGTGATGAATTAGAGACGGTAATTCGAATCCATCGACCGCCCCGCCCCTGCCCAGGAGCCTGCCGCCCCTCCCCCAGCCCCTCTCCCATAATTACTGTTTGAGACAGAGCAGGGGAGGGCTTCGAAGAGGAGGCGGCTGGGAAGCTGCCAGAAATCGGAGGCTGGTCCCCATGGGGGTGGGTTGAGGCCCCCATGGGGACCGGCCTTGCAAGGACTAGGGGGTCTCAGAATCTAAGAATGCGAGACCCCGACTTTACAGACGGTTAAACTGAGGAACGCGGGGAAGGGAGGCGGGGTGGCTGGCGGCGGGGTGAGGGACCCTGAGGTCTACCTGGTCCAATTTCTCGGGTGCCTTGTAGAAACAAAGAAACTGCCCCTGCCTCCTTGGTCCCTGAGCCGGGAAAGAGAGAGGAGGGCGAAGCTGGAGAGTCAGAGAGACCCCGGCCCTGCGGACCCCATGCAGAGGGGCTGCAGCCCCGGGAACTCTCACTCCCCTGTCTCAGTTTCTCTCTCCCTCTCGCCCTTTCCTTCTTCCTGTCCCTCTTTCTCTCCAGTTCTGATCTCTTCACTTCTGCCTCTTCGTTTTCCTCCTTTGTTTTTGTCACTCCCGGTTTCCCCTACCTATCTCTGTCCCTTTCTCTCTCCCTGTGTCTGCAGGCGTCTCCCTTCCTCCCGGCACCTTTCTCCCGGCCTCAGTGTCGGGATCAGACTCCTGACCCGACAGCTCTGAGGCGGGCCGGCAGGCGCGCGGGCCAGAACGCTGCGCAAAGCTGGCGATCCTGGCGGGGCAGTGGGGAGGGGGGCGAGTGGGGACGCCGCGGGGAATGCGCGAGGCTTTCGCCGGGCCCGGGATGGGGAGGAGGAAGGGCGCTGATTCGTCTCCGCCGGGTTTAAAATGTGCAGAGGGGGAGCAAATCCGGGCCCCTGGAGGCGCTTCAGGCTGCCCCCAGCGTGGTTGCACATTGGGGGGTGGATGTGCCCTGCCTCCTTCCTCTAACCGCCGAGATTTGCCGCCACTTAACCGCTTTTCATTTGCGCAGCGACCGGAACTAAAGGCCTTTCCGCTGGCCCGTGCCTAATTACCCCTCAGCCCTCAGCCACCTCTAACATCCCAGCCAGCGCCCCGGTGTAGACGCGGCCTCGAGCGCGCCAGAGGTGCGGCAGGTGCCCCAAGTCCCACTCACGGACCGAGAGGGCCGGTGGGGTCCTGGCTTGTGCCGCGCTGGGAGGAGCGAGGGACACACCCGGCTGACCAGGTCATTTTTCCCAACACCCCAGGGCTTCCAGGCCCTACACTCATCCTCTCCGCTCCCTTCCCGCTCCCCTCTTCCGTCTCCCACTTCCCAAAAGGGGCCACCCAGGCTCAGAGAGGGAGACTGCTTCTGGAGCTGCAGAAGTCCGGGAGGCCACCCATCGGCCTCGGTTTGCACATCTGTAATTACGAGGGCAGTGGGAAGGCAAGCCCCAGCTTAGCAGTGGGGCTCCCACCAAGGCTGTCCCCACTCCCCTACCCCCGAAGCAGCGCCTTCCGCAGGACTTCCCACCTGCACTTTGTCCTTGTGAGGCCTTGGCCTGCCTCTTGGGTTTCCCCAAAATGTGGGATCGAGAGGGCACTAACGGGCCATGTTAGTTACATAACATGACTGAGAAAATCGGACAGTGGCACCTGTTCTTTGGGGTACACCCATGTTCGACACCGTGTCCCTGAACCGCGGGCACTGGGGAGGAGGGGGAAGGTGGCCAGCATGGCAATGTCCAACGCCACGTGTTGCCCATTCGACAAGCGCCACTAAGTATCCAGTGCATTCTGGTGATACCTTTGGCCAGAGAGTAGGGGTTGTGCTCTCTGCTACCTGATGTCACCTCCACTGCTCACTGCAGGCTGTGGCTCTGTGTTGATGTGACTGAGTGTCCCCTTGGGCACACCTGGTCATTGCATGTGTCATGGGGAGAAAGATAGAGCTGGTGCTGCCCTTACATAAGACTGTCCAGGCTCCTGACACCACTTCTAACATGTCACAATGACCTCCCCAAACACTTGATCACCTGTCACATAGGAAGGAGTATTTATGTCCCTGTTCACCAAGGCGGAGAATCTAGGAAGCCTATAGGTGGCTCGGCTAGTCACCTCAAACTGCAGAGAGGGAAACTGAGGCTCGTGTGTGGGGACAGGCTTTGTGGCTTGTCTAGAACTCGGGGGGAGGGGAATTGGAGGAGTGAACATGGGACCCCTCTCCACCCACGGGTGTCCCCTCTTCCCAGCCCCCATGTCTGGCAGGGGCACAGCCAAGGCTCTCCCTGCCTCGCTGCATGAGGGGCGCCGAGTGTGAGCCCCAGCCCACTCCATCCAGCCCCACTCGCCCCTGCGTGCAAAGAAGCCATTGATCTGGCGCCTGCGGCGGCTATTGTCCTGGTGTCTGGGGCATCTGCAGCCCCCTCCCCAGCGTGGCCAAGGGAAGACCACCCCTCCCAAGCCAGACCCATTGAGGTGACGGGGAGGGGGGGTCTTTCCTGTACCCCCACATGCACCAGGGAAAAGGAGGCTTGGTCAGGCCACCTCTCTGAGGGCAGGTGTGGACCCAGCTGCTGTCAGCTGGGAGGGAGGAGGGAGTGGGGTTCCCAGGGGGGCTGGGGGCGAGTGAGACAGACACAGAGGCTGAGAGACAAAAAGAGTGACAAAGAGGAGAAAGAATGAGGGGGAACAGGAAAAAAAACGGCAACCAAGAGAAAAATAAATAGCTATGAGGTTGCTCTGACAGAGAGGCCGCAGAAATAAGAGAAACACAAAACAAAAACAAACAAACAAAAAACCAAGGCGGGCAGCGGGGTGTGCATCTTGACCAAGAGTAAACACGCAGGGGTGTGAAGGCCTCCGAACCGTGCGGGCGGGAGTTCCCCGGTCGCCCCTCCCCCCCCTCGTTCTCCAGTGACCTTTGCCAGCGGCCGGAGATGGGGAGGGGGCTATCGATCGCAGAGGCTGAGCCACAAAGATGCGCGCGCTGGGGCCAGGGGCTGAGCACCGGCCTGGCCCTGGCTGCCAGCGCGCCCTCACTCGGTGCGCGGTCCCAGTTCTTTGCCCCGGGGATGGAGTCACAGCGAGGGACTGAATGTTCGGGAGGAGGAGAGCGGCACCCCGAACTGAAAGCAGCGGCGTGTCTAGGGCACAGAACCTCACCCCCACATACACACCACACACACATTAATCGACCCTGCAGGCTGCTAAGGGGATCCTTGGTTCCCGGACGTGTTGTGCGGGTGGAGGGGATGAGGCGGCACCATACAACCCTTTTGGAGAAGGTACAGACCCACAGGGGCACAGGTCACGCTCTAACCTCCTGCAAGAGAGCCCCGAGCCGGCCGGAGGGGTGCACGGCCGGGGCATGGGGAGGCGGCCGGGGCTGCTTGGTGCTGGGGACAGCCCAGTGTCCCTGAGCCAGCGTCCCGGGGTCAGGCGGTGTGCGCCGCGCTCCTACCTGCGAGGCGCAGCGCCGACATACGCTGGAACTCGGGCTCCTGCAGCCACTTCCACATCCTGCGGAAGGTCTCGCGGCCCGACTTGAGCTTGCTCCACGGCTTGGGGTTGCGCAGCAGGTCAGAGAGTGTGCCCTGTGAGCGGCACAGGATGCGCTGCGCGAAGATGGCCTGAGGGATGCTGTACCGTTTCAGCTCCGCGGTGATGCGCTGCGCCACCTCCTTGGTGTTGATCTCCTCTGCCGCCGCGCCAGCCCCAGGGCCGCCGCCACTGCCCGGGCCGCCGCCGCTCGAGTGCGGCCCGTGCGCCCCGACCGCTGCCAGCCCGCCCAGCGGCGCCAGCAGCCCAGCGGAGCCCCCGCTACCCGCGCTGCCCGCGCCCCCGCCTCCCGGCAGCCCGCGAGCCAGCGCGTCTTCTGCGCGCCCTAGCAGCGCGGCGTGCGGTTCGAAGGCGGCGGGCGGCAGCAGCTTGTCTCCGGCCAGGTGGCTCGGAGCGCCGTAAGCGGCCAGCGGAGGGGGCGGCGGTGGCGCCTGGGACTGCGGGGCGCCGTGCAGCGCGGGTGGCAGCGCGTTGGGCAGCGGCGACAGCGGCGACCCCATGGCAGGCAGCTCTTTGCCGTAGGGCCCATAGAGGTGGCCCACGGAGGCGAGCGCAGCGCGCTCGTCGCGCATGAGGGTGAAACTGCCGCTCACGCTGGCAGCCAGGCGCTGCGGCGGGGGCGGTGGGGGCGGTGCGGCCGCCGGGTGCGGGTGCGCATGAGGGTGGCCGCCGTGAGCCGCCGCGTGCTGGTGGAACTTGTCAGCCACGGCCGCGAGCGGTGGCAGGTGCTGCAGGGGCGTGAGCGTCGTGTAGGTGCCGCCCAGGCCGGGTGCCTCGCAGGCCATGCCCATAGCCGGGTGCAGCGGGCCAGCCAGCTCCCCGCGGAAGTCTGCGCCGCCGCTCGCGCCAGCCGCACCGCCCGCGCCCCCGGCGCCGCCGCCGCTGCCGCCGCTGCCGTCCAGCAGGCTCGCCATGCCGGCTACCAGGCCCGGGCGCCCGGGTGCCACCAGGCCGCGGTGCTGCGTCGCCGCCGAGCGCGCGTGGCCTGGGCTCAGCAGCTCGCCTGCCTGCGCGTGGGCCACGCCGTGCAGGCCCCCCAGGCTCTCCAGGCTCAGCTCCATGCTGGGCCGCCCGCCCGCCCGCCCGCCGCGCGCGCTCCTTGGCGCCGGCCGGGCGCGCTCAAGGCCTCTGCATGGCCCCCGCCCGCTCCCCGGTGGCTGCGCGCAAGGCTGCCTGGCTGAGCGGCGCTGGGCCCGGCCTGGCTGCGAGCGCGGCCACCAGGATGTGGCAGGGGAGCGGCGGCCAGCAGCCCGGCCCGGGTCTGACGTCAGCGCCCCCGCCCACCCGCTCCCCTCGCCCCCGCCTCCCGCCACCTTGCTCTCCGCCCTCTCCGGTCCCCTCGAGCGTCAGGCAGACCGGAGTGGGCCTTCTGGGGTCTCCTGCCTCTGTGCGGGCCGCCTGGGGGCCGTACTTACCGAGGACAACAGGAGGGAGTCTGGGGACAGACTCCGGCGAAGTGGGGGTGGGGCCTCTCTCTGCACCTCGGATTCCGTGTCCCTCCCCAGAGAGTCAACAGGAGCACTTTCCCGCCAGAGGCCTCTGAGTCCCTCCCACGGGAGTGCGGTGGGGTTGCGGCTGACTAGGGACCCGCGCCCCACGTGTTTCCCCACGGCCCACACACAGACTTTAGGAGGTGGGGCCCTCCGCAGGTTCGGCTCCCCCTACACACACACTAGGGCGTCACATCCCTCTCCCATGACCTTTCTGAGGGGCTTTGATGAGGACGGAAGGGTCCTCGGACTGGTTCGGGGTCTGCTTACTGGAATGTCTGGACATGCTCCTGGTTGTGGGCACCTGGTCCTCAGTTTCCTCAGCTGTGCAATGGAGCACCTGGCCTCAGGGCGGTCCAAGGTCCCTCCCAATTCCAGGTTCTTCTTCTTTCTTCCAACCTAAGGGTGGGACTCCTTCCCAAGGAGCTCCTGCTTCAACCACCCCCTTCCTCAGGGTTTCTCTTTTGGGTGGGGGGAGTGAAGGCCCTCCTTTTCATTACCACCTGGAGACAGGCGAGGGCCACATGCAAGTCAGGAAGGGGTCCAGAGCGGCCAGACCAGACCCCAAAGGGTGCTCCCATGTTAAGGCCAGAGTCTCCGGTGGAGAGGGACCCCCCAAACCAGTCCACTCCCCCTTCTTTCCCCATTACATCTGCCCTTCCAAATTTTGCCCGGTTTCCAGAAGAGAAAAGGGAGGATAAAGCTATTGAGGCCTCTGCTGGGTCCCCCAAGCCCACCATCTGTGCACCCCTCCCTCCGCCTTCAACAGGATTCCCCACCCATGGGGTTGTGGCTGCACCTTGGGGACTTGACTGTCTGCTGGGCAAGTTCGAGCAGGGCCCTTCCGTGTGTCCGTTTCGCCTTCCCGCTGGCCGCAGCTGCGCGCAGACGGGTCTGTGCAGAGCGCCAGAGTGGGGCAGGGCCGTCTCTTAGTGCCAGGGAGTTTGGACGCCTGGGTGAGCCGGCCCCCTGCTTAGAAGGGGGAAGGACATCAGGCAGTAGAGCGATCTGATCCAAGTCCTGGGCTGGGACAGGGCTAAGTGGGATTCCTATCCCTGTCCCATTGTGCTTTGTGCTGAGGACTCAGTATTCAATAGCTGCCTGCTGTTTCCCAGGCACACGCTCTTCTCCTAGCCTGGAGGGGGGTCGGTCAAGTTCCCCAGCTGTCTCAGGACCAAGGTGGAGTGTGGTGGGAGTAGGGGTTCCCCTTGGTTCCCATGTTCTGTCCAAACGTGACACTGCCCGCAGGTCCATGGGCATTTCAAGTGCATGATTTTTATACAATCCCAGGTTATATGTCATCACACCCATCTTCCAGGTGGGAAAACAGAGGTGAGAAAGAGGGGTGGGTCTGAACAACTGAACCTCCCCACCCTCACACAGATTCTGAGTCTGAGGACACAGGTTCTGGCTATGTTGAGCCCTAGCCTGACCTGTCCTCCCACCCTCCAACAATCACAGGCAATTAAAAATAGTTGTGGGACGTACAAATCAACCAGCCTCATGAAACGGTCACATCCCAGGCCCCAAAACCACGGGTCAGGGTCTCCGTGGGTGGGAGAGCGGAGGTGCGTGGACGCACTCCCGGATGCTCCTCAGGGGCAGCGGCCGGGGTCCTTTGGCCTGTGCATCCTTCTGTTTCTAGTCCTCAAGCTCCAGGACCGCTTTCATTTCCACACAAGCACTGTGGGTTTCCCACTCTTGTAAGGAAAGCATCCATTTTGAAAGAACAGAGGTGGGCCGGTGGCTTCGGGAAGGAGCCCCTCCCTTCTGCTGCCTCAGGACACCGCACCCTCCCAAATCTCGGACAGGCTGCCTCCACCGGGAGGACCGGCCTCACCAGGACAGGGTCCCACTGCCCGGGCCAGCTGTGCTCTCACTGGGAGACCGAGGAAAACGTTCCAGCCTCCAGAAGGGGGAGGGGGACAGGCAGTGGCCCCCTGGAGCCCCAGAAGCAGTGTTCCCCCACCGTCGGCCTTTCCGTAATTAGTAAAGTAGAATCGAGCCTGCCACGGGGTGGGCTGGTGGCTCGAGCCTGATCGATTTTGAATCATTAGGCAAATTGCAGGCAGGGGCGGAGTGGGCTGGATGGGGGCAGGGCGCCCCCCATTCTCACCTCTGTGGGGACCTTAGCCGCGGCAGGGGAAGCTCTCCCACGTCAGCGTCCCCTCCTGGAAACTTGCCATTCAACCTCTGGAGCCCGCGCCGGGGCTGCCAGGGGCCTCTGCAGGCGCTGGGCAGTCCCTGGGCTGTTCCTAGGCAATGCCCACCTTCTGTGGGACACGCCTGGCCCGGGAGAACCTAGAAGCACAGCCTGGGCTCCTCTGACCTGGAGACTCCCAGTGTCCAGAGAGCAGTGAGAGGACTCGCTGGGGGTCAGGTTTCCTCCCCGCCTTGGGGGCCCAGGCGTCCCCAGCGCTCCGATGGCCATGGCCCACCCTGCCCGGAGCTGCGATCTTTACCCAGTACCCTCCGCCTCACCTCTTCTCGGACAGGTCGTGTTTCTGCTTGTTTTGGTGCCTGTGGTCCAGCTAAAGATACTGGGGAAGGGGTGGAATACCTAAAATTTTTACCTCCCGTGCTTCTCCACGGCCCCTCCATGGTTCGCGGCTGATTTCTGGTTCGATTTGTCTCCCACAGAAATGAAAGTTACCGGCCGCTGCGCACCCCTTCTTTTATTAGAGCGAGGTTTTAATAAATAGTGGCAATTAATGTTCCCCCAGTCTCGTCGGTGCCCGAGGCCTGCGCTGGTCCCAGCTTCAGCCCCCCAAACCTGCAGACGCCCCAAATCCTGGCCGGCGCACACCTGGAGGGGCAGCGTCCTCCTGCCCAACTCTTGCTCCTTCGTTCGGGCGGGGTCAGAGGACTTATTTAGATTTGGGGGGAGGGTGTTAGGATTTTCCGGCCTGGCGGGGGTCCCGGCAAAGCTGACCACGCAAGACACCCTAAGGTTTCACCATCTGGACGTCGGGCGCAGGGACGTTCCCAGCGCCGAACCTGAGGCGCAGCGATATTGGGGTTTCGTTTCTGGCGGGCCAGAGCCCCTAAGCTTCCTGCCCGCGGCCTGGGGGGCGCGGGGTCGCGTGGGCCCGAGGGTTGATGCTCTGGCGGACGTGTTGGCAACAGCTGCGCTGGATCGATCCCCGCGCCCGCCCAGGCTCCGTTGCCTCCGCCGCGTCGCGCGGCTCCATCGAATCCTCATCGCTCCAGGGCCGCACCGCCCGCCGCGTTCTCGGCAAACACGGCGCTTGTTTGCGCTAGGACACCCGAGCTGGGCGTCCGCGGCCGCCAGGGTGTGTATCTGGGGGCCTCGCGTCTTAGTCCTCTTCCCCAGCCGCTGGGCCTCGGTGGGTCCGGAGTTCGAGGAACACAGTCAGCGGAGGGAATTCCACTCCCTCCAACTCCCCTCATTACTCCAGGGTGGGGGATCGTAGTCAGGCCGGGAAGGCGCGGGGGGCTTTCGACCGCACTGCTCTGTCCGCTTCTCAGTTTCCCCACTTTTAGGGCGACACTCAGGGGCTGGGGATCGCAGAGCGCGCGCGTGCTGCTCACTCTCCTGCCGCTCCCTCTGCCTGCTTCGGCCCAACTCTGCGCGCGGCGGGTCCAGGACGGGTACCGGAGCCGGGCTGGGGGCTGGAGCCTCCGACGCCGAGGTAGAAAATGCGGCGAGGCCCAGTTGGAGGAGCAGTTAGAAGGGGCTGGGGAGACGAATGCGCCCCCCTACTTCGGGCTCAGGCCCCTCCTCTCTGGGCTTTGCAGAGATTGTCGCCCCCCTTGAGTCAGTGAAGAAACTAGGAGTCTGTCCCCAAGTTTGCAGTCGGGGAAACTGAGGCTAGGCCCCGCAGGGCGCAGCCGCCGTCTCCTGGAGGATGGAAGAAAAGGACAGGACGCGCTCTTGGGCTCGAGGACACCTCATTACCCAACTCCGCTGCCGGCGATGGTCGGGGCACTGCAGGCCGCGGACTTCCCCGGCGCAACGAAACCCGCTTCTGGCGCCGCGCTCCAGAGCCGCCCAAGCGCCACCGCCGCCGTAAAGCTTTCGTCACCCGCCGCTGGGACCCTTGCCCACTCGCGGCCCAAGCGCTGTCTGGCCCTTCCTGCAAAGGAGGCTCTGACAATTAAAAATGTAAATATGTTTGCATTTAATCCTCAACGCTCTCCCTTGCCGAGAGGTAGCAGGCGAACTCCGGAGCCCTGTGTCGGTTTGCGGAGGCCTCAGCGGGGCTGCCGTGGGGGCCCCTTCCAGGAACCGCCTTGGCCCGGCTCCCAGCCCCTGGCTCCGCGAAGTCCGAGAACGCCGCTTTCCATATCCGGATTGTCCGGTCTTGGGCCCGGGAGCCCAGGACACGACGACAGAGGCGGGGAGGACAGACTTGGGCGAGCGCCCACTTTCCAGACGCGGAGACCGAGGCCCCAGCTGAGAGTGAAGACCCCGCCCTCCAGGCTCCGAGCGTCCGACGCCCCTGCCCCAGGTGGGTTATTCTCCATGGCTTCCGCCAGGGAGCCTGGCCCATGCCTGGAGCCCCATTAATGCGCCATTTGTCTGAACACACAAGCGCCCTTTCCGCTCAGTTAGGGAGGGGACGGGGAGGTAGAGAAGGCTTGTGCCCTCCTTGACAGCAAGGCTGATCCCCTTCTTCCCCCTCCCCCGCCGCCCTCCAGGTCCATCTCCTCTGCCAGTGTCCCTTGCAGGTGAGAGGGCCCAAGGGACACTGAGGATTTGAGGCTGGGGCGAGGGGGGGTTAGGCGTCTACTAGTCGAGAACGGAGGAAGGGAGCTGGGCAGTTCAGGTGACCTAACACGCTGGTCTGTGCAGCCCCCACCTCAGAGCTGAGGCCTCAGCCCCTGCCTTTCCCGAGCAGCTTCTAGGCTTGGGAGAAGGAGAGGCAAACAACTCCGCTATCACTCACCCCCTTGGGGTCAGGACTAGGGCAGGCAGAGACTTCCTGGGGGAGAGGAACCTTGAGGCTGGGTTTTGTAGGATGTCTAGGTGTTTGGGTCAGGCACCTGAGTCAAGGATAAAAAAGACCCCGTATAATTTCTGAAGGAAGAAAGCTGGGCAGGGGCAGATGGCTGGTATTCGCTCAATACCTTGCAGGCCTTCATTAAAGATATATTTGTTGAAGGAGTCAGTGAGATAAAGGTGGGGAAGGACGGGAGGGGGAGGTGTCGGAGCTAGGCCTTGAATGCCGGGCTAAGAGGAGGCTGCACTTGGGGAGGCTGGAAGGAGCATCCCAGGTTGGCCTTTGGAACAACTCCCTCCAGCCTCAGGCTGCACAGAGGGGGTCGTGGGAGACACACTGAGTGTAGACCCTCTTCCACCCCAGTACTGTGTGTGCTGGGAGGGGGTGGGGAGCTGTTTGTTCCTGAGCCCAGCAGGTGAGTCACTGTGTACAGAAAGGAAAGGCTTCTCTTTCCTTCAGTCATCAGCCACCTCCTCCCTCCCTCCCTCCCTCCCGGGAGGTGGGGGTGGGGGTCCTGCTAAGCTGGGGGCATGTTGCTCCCAGCAGAACCCCACCCTATTTGTCCCCCCTCTGCCTCAGTTGAGCAGAGACTGGGGGATGACTGCCCCATTTTTCCATGAGGAAACAGGCATGGGGAGGTCCTGGGCTTTGCCCAAACCCCCTTGAGCTAAGCCCCCATGTTCGCTCACTTTGTGTGAGTTATGGGGACACCTCGGAGTGTCCAGCTGGCAGTAGAGTTGGTCTCTGAGGCACCATTGAATGAAGTCCTGACTGAATTTGTAGGGTGTGGGTTCCAGCTACCCAGAGCAACCCCAGACAGGGTCCTTCCGTCCAGTCCAGCCCTTCAGACAAGCCCAGGGAAACCAAGACTCCCTAGACTCTGGCGTTGGGGGACAATAGCCAGGAGACCAGCAGGAGCAGTCCAGCCTGCACTGCAGGAGGATCCCCTAATCGGAGGCCTGTGACCAGCAGTGAGGGAATAAGGGTGTAGAGAGTGTGGTATCACCGCGCCCTGGCTCAGCCGGGGCCAGTTAATCATTAAAGGAAGCAGAGGGGAAGAGTCAGCGGGGCTCCTCCTAAAAAAGACCACTGCTGTCTCCACCCTGAACTCTCTGGAATTTGACCCCTCAGGGAGACTGGCCATGGACTGAGGGTCAGAGCCTGGTGCCAGCACTTCCACACTGTGGAGTCTGTAGAGGCGGAGGGCGGCCTCAGTTTCTCCTGCTGGGAAGGAAAGGGGGTTCTTGATGCTCCCCTCTTTGCTTCTCTCCAGTGCTAAAAGCTGTGATGCTGGTTAGCCCACCTCAGGATCTCTCATGCCCCTCTGCCCTCCAAGCAGTCCCCCGTGGCTTTCCTCTGTAACCATCTCATAATTAATGCCCAGACTTTGTCTATGTGAGAACCGCTGGGGTTCCCTCTCTTCTTCTGGCTTAAATAAAACAAGCACAACATCACACTTCTGTCATTGCTGAGCCCCTGTGCATCGGGAGGTAAGAAGACAGAGCCTCACCAGCAGTGTTTCCTGGGAGCCAGGGCAGGACCTCCCCCAACCCTGTCCTTGCCCCACCAGCCCCTCACTAGGAGGAGAGAGAGAGGAGGCTGGGGGTCCCGGAGTGAGAAACCAGGGACAGACACTTCCTTCTTTCTATCAGGGACCCTATCAGCAGAGCCCCCTGGTAGGTCCTTGCCACTGTGTATAGGGACCCTCTGAGCTGGACATTGTGAACCCCACTTCACAGGAGGCTCTGGGAGGAGGCAGCACAGATACGGGGCAGAGGGGTTTAGGTGGCTTTGGGTTAGCCTCTGCCCACCAGCACGCTGACTTTCTGTGTCTCGGGCCTTCCCAGGGCTGGGACTTTTTCTGGATTTGGCACCCTTAGGCATCATCAGAGTGTCAGCCTCAGTTCACCTCCCCTCTGCCTTGGCAGGTGGGCAAGGCCAGGGCAGTCACCCATTTTCTGGGTGAACAAACCGAAGCTCCAACTCGCTGGCTGTCTTGACAGTTACATATGTGGGGCGTGGACTCAGGCCCCTGATGATGGGCTCTGGGTAATGCATTCTATTTCTCGTGCCTCAGTTTTCCCATCTGCAAAATGTGGATCTTGTTGAATTTTTGTGAATTGAATACAAGTTGTTTAGATTAGACCTGGACCGTGGGAGGTACCATTGTTCTAACGTGGGGTGGCTGGGTGCAAACTCAAGCCTGTGTTTGGAGCCCAGGACTGAGCAAAGCTGCCAAGAGGGCAGCTCAGGAAGGGGAGTGACTTGAATGGGGAATGGGGGGTCCAAGGACAGCACCCCAAGAGGGGCCTACTGGATGCCGATTCACCCTGTGAGATTGCTGCCCCTAGCACTGTGGACTGGTTATCTGCTGCCTGTGTCTCTCTCCCCAGCCCAGAAGTCCATGGAAGTTGCTAACAGCATCTGGGGTGTCCTGGTGTTTCCATTGTCCAGCTCTGGCCAGGGGCGTACAGCAGGAACACCTGCCCCAGGGGTCTGTTTAATTGTGCTAAAGAATTGGGTTGAGGCCTGTCTAGTTCATGATAACAGCTAAATATGTGTGTGAGAAAGTATGTGCCTTGGCCCTGCACCCCTCATCCTCCCTTTGGGGGGGCTCTGGGAGAGGTGTGAGGCCAAGCCGGGCCCTGGTTTGGTGGCTGGAAACGGACTGGCCCCGGCAGGTGTGGTGTGTGGACTTCATGCCTCAGCACTTTCTGCCTGCAGACAGATGTATGGGTGGAGGCAAACTGGCAGTGGATTATTTATGCCAGGGCTAAAAATTCCAACCCTGGGGCAAAAATAGTGGAGGAGGTTGGCACTGTGTGGTCATCCTGCCAGCTGACTCAGCTTGCTCAGAGGAGGTTTTGCCAGTCAATCTCTGTGTGTGTTTTAACTTAAGGTGTCTGGTGCATTTAACCCAGGCTCTCAACCCTGATCACATGAAATGGAGCCTGGCTTCTAATCCAGTCTCAAATCCATTTCTTAGCTGGGGGTTGGAATGAGTTCTCACAACTTCTCTGGGCACATTTTCCTTGTCTGCATGAGGTCCCTCCTCCCATGAGGATGAAATGAGAGAATTTGTGAAAGTCCTTAGGGGCTGACCAGACAGGAGCTGTTGTCTCTATCAGCCTGTTTGGGGGCCAGGAGGTTGGGGTGGAGGGGATTGCAGAGGCAAGGCAGCCAGAAGAAAAAAATTAGAAATAAGTTCAAGAGAAGCTGTTTCTGGCAGAGAGCGAGTCCACAAAACCCACATCAGGTGGTTCAAAACACTTGCCACAGATGGGCTACAGTTTTGGCTCTGAGCTTCTCAGCAGGCAATGCAAAAAGAGCAACACAAAAAATGTGCATATCTGTGGCCATGCACACAATTGTGGCCATAAGAAGGCATGGTCATGAGCCTGCATGTACGTGTGTGTAGGCAAAATTCTAAAATGACCCTCCTGATCTTTGCCCACTGGTGGCTTGAATGTGGCTGGCTTACAGACAATGAAACATGGCAAATGTGATGGGTGTCCCTCCATGATTATGGTGTGTTATGTGAGACCGTGTCCTGGCAGAGATTCTCCTGCTGGTCTTGAAGAAATGAGCTTCCATGTTGTTAGGCGTCTCTAGAAGGGCCACATTGTTGGGGCACAGTTGGGGCATGTTTTAGGTCCTGAGAGCAGCCCCCAGTGGACAGCCAGAAAGCAAAACAGGATCTCAGTCCGACAAACATAAGGACTTTAATTCTGCCAACAGCCACAAGAGCTTGGAAAAGGAGCTTAAAGTCTAGGAAGGAGCTCAGCCTGGCCGACACCTTAACTGAGGTTTTGTTGGACCTGAACAGAAGAACTGGTGATGTGTGTTGTTTGATGCTGGTAAATTGTGTTGATTTGCTATTCAAAACTTATTAGCTAACTAGTACATAGGGTAACATGCTCTTGCTTTCTGCATTTCTATCTGCCACCAGCTCAGTAGAGACCTCCTGCTCCTTCATCAGTTGCACACATGGTCATCATTGGTGTTCTGCATTGATTGAGAACCTACTGTGTGCCAGGCTGTGCACTAAGTATTTGACCTGGATCATCTTGATTCATCTTCTCTCCTGTCACAGGAAATTGTGCTCATTTTCAAGATGTGGAAACTGAGGCTTGGAGGTTTAACTGAACAATTCCAGAGCACACAGGGGTAAGTGTGTGCTTGAGACAGCTTGAGGGTGTCAGGCCCCCATGTCTCCCTTTGGCTGCCCCTGGAGGTTTGTCCCATGTCTTCATCTCACCAACCTATTGGCTTTCCCCCAGCACAGTGGCTGTCAGAGTGACCATCCCACCTGCTGAATCGGTGCCCTTAGATGTGGGGGGCTTCCAGATGTGGGGAGCCAGCTATCAGGGCTTCCATGAGCCTCCCAGACAATCCTGATGCATGCCTACATTCGGGAACAACAGAGAGAGTGAATTCTGCTGTCTTGTGCCTCTGCGTCTTTGCACAGGCTTCTCTCTCCTGAGGAAGGCAAAGCTCCTCACTGTCTTTTTGCAGAGGTCACTCCTCCTTGGTTCTTCAGACCTCAGCTGGTGTCACTGCCTCAGATCAGCCCCACCCTGTTTCACAATCTCACACTTCTGTGTCTCTTACAGGGGTCTTAATACAATTCATAATGATATTTTTCCCTGGAATATTTTGTTTAGCACCCTTCTCTCTGACCAGACTATGAACTTTAAGGAGGTAGGGACCTGGTGCACAATAGTTGTGTAGTAACTGGCTGATATATGCGATTGAGTGAGTGAATGAATGAAAGGATGGATGAATACATGAATGAATGAATGCCCCTACCTTTCTGTTTCCCCATTGCTAAGAGAAAGGAAGGCACATTTTAAACAACTCGTAGCCGTATCTCAGCCTGAAGCTGCCAGAAACACCAGCTCCCTTGGCAGAATGCATTGACCCACCTTGAGGTGGAGGAGTGTCTGGCTTTGTGGAGCAGAGGTGGGAGGCTGCAGGTGGGGAGGGGGCTGCGTCAACATGCTGGGCAACAGTCAAAACGCCCCCCACCCCACTCCCAGCCATGCCTCTAACAAGAGTGATTTGCCAGTGGGGGGCTGTGATGTGTGTGTGTGTGTGTTCATGCTCCTGTGTGTGTGTGTGTGTGTGTGTGTGTGTGTGTGTGTGTGTGTGCGCGCGCGCGCGCAGTGTACAGCCTCTGCAGCAGCCAGGACGGAAAAGCCCTTTAACACACAAAAGCTGGAAAGGCACATTAAGCCCATTATCAATATTTTGCCTGGAAAAAATACAAAAAGCATTTTCTTCTCTGAAAAATTAATAACCTGGAAGAGGGGGGGGTCTGGGTTTGATGTCTAGTGAGTGAGGAGAGGGGCAGGCTTCACTCTGCCCCCAAGGGGGTGCCTGGGTCCCTCTGAGCAGTTTCCCCAGTTATCCCATCTCTGGTTCACCCCCACCTGGTCCTCATCTGATAGAGCCCCCAGCAGGACTTCAGCTATAAGCTTGTCCCCCAATCCGCCTCCATCCTCTCCTGGAGGGGGGCATCCTTCCCACCTGAGGCTCTTCCAACTCTCCTCAAATGGGCCGTGTCCTTCTGTCTTTATGCCTTTGTTTCTGATGTTCCCTTGTCCCTCTGCTCTCCCTAGGTAACTCCTACTCTCCCTGCACAGTCCAGCTCCAACGCCCCCTCCTTTATACAATTTCCCCTCCCTTCCCAGACAGAACCCCGCTGCCCTTCCCTGGCCCCCAACCACAGGGCACTCACTCCCCCCTGGGACTCCCCAGCCCTGGGTGTCTCTCTCTGGCCCACTCAGTGTCCTTATGTCCCACCCATAGCTGGGGGGCTCCTGAGAGCTAGGCAAGAGCTGGCCCCTCCAGGACCTCAGCATCTTCTGTCAGGTATTTGGACAATAAACAAGGCTCACACCCACCTCTCCTTAGGCCTGGAGAGATAATTCTAGATTCTGGCTGGGGAGGAGGAAAAAAACCACATTCTTCTGAAGTCTGTTTCCCTTTTTATAAAACAAGGAGTTTGGATCAGATTTTAAATTTTGGAATAATTTATTTTCTCACCCATCCCCTAACACATTTTGAACTCCTTCTGTGTGAAGACTCTTCAATGTTCTAGACATTGAGAAAAATGGCCAGCTGGCAATAGAAACTCGTAGTTTGCAAACAGCATTGCTGTCTGCAGCTCTCTGTCCTCCTCCTTCACCCCCCGCCCCGCCCCACCAAGGGCAAACCATTATTCTCATTTTATTGAGGACACTGAGGCCCCACCAGGATGCACCTGGGTCTATTTGGGGACATCTCTCGTGATGTCCCAGGCTCTGGGTGCCCTGACTAATGGGGACCCTCTCCAGTTTTGTAGAGGCAGGGAGCTGTCCTTGGTGCTGAAGCTAGAACTGGAGGTCTTGGATCTGGGAATGGGGTTTCCCTCCTAGCCCACCCATCTGAGTCCCCTCCCCTGCCCCAGTGGTCAGACCCCATGTTCCCCCTCTCTGCTAGTCTGGGAGACCCAGGTTCAGTCACTTTGGGACTGTCAGCCCCCCAGTTTGCCATTATTGTATCCTGATGACCTCCCTTCAGCCCTGCACGATGTCTTGTACCTCCCCCCAACCCTGCCCGTCATATCCTGTGCCCCTACCCAATCCTACCCAGTCCTTCACGTTAGCCCCATGGGGCTGGGAGTATCAGAGCCCAATTCTGCTTTCTCCTGTGTGAAACAAATGAGCAGACAAGAATCTAGGCATCTGGACACCGAGGTATGACTCCACAGAGACCCTAGTCCCTTTATGTACACTAGCCTTGCCCCCACCTCAAAGCATGAAATAATCAGGGCTGTGGAAATCCAGAGCCTGTACTTGAGTGGTCTAGGAGGCCTTTCTGGGGTAAGTGACCCCAGCAGAACCAGATAGTGTAAGGTGGGATGGTTCTCGTTCCAAACCCTGAGCTGAGCTTGAAAGGTTGGGAAAGGTGGGCAGTGACTCATTCACCTGGAGGGCAGAGAACCGAGCTCGTTAGGGGAGGGGATCAGATACACAGCTTCTTCAGGGCAGGGGAGGAGTGGGCAAGAGGGAATATTTTACCCAGGTGGCTGCGATCTCTCTTCCAAGGCCAACAGCCCTTCAGATATTGAGCATCCCTGTCAATGCTGCTAGCTGTAAGTGGGGGGAAAAACACTTAATGGGCAGCTTGAGCCTCGCTCAGGTGGGTAGATGCCTGGCTGCTGAGAGAAGAAGGTGGTGTTAGACCCTTACAGGGGCCTCTGTCCCTCCCCCACCCTTACCAGTCTTGGGGGGGGCGGGTTGGGGAGGGGGCTCCAGATGGCTGCTAATAACCCTTCAATTGGTGATCCCATTTGCTGAGTTCCTGCTATGTAAAGCTGTGGACTCTCCATGTGCTTTCATTTTCTGTGCAGTCACCCAAAGGATCTTTACCACACCTACTGTGTGCCAAACCTAGGGGGCATTGCAGACCCAGGTGAAAGGGCCTGAAAGGAGGGCAGGTAGCTTCCCTGAGAAGGGGACATTTGCCCTGATAACCATGGGTGAATCAGGAGTTAATTGAGGAGATGTAGGAACATTATTTCAGGCAGTGGGTACAGCATGTGCAAAGGCTTGGTGGTCAGAGGAATGTGGGGTTATGAATGGTTGGATAAGATGGGGCCTGTGGGGAGGGGCTGAAGTAGGGGGGTCATGGTTTTGTTTTATTGTTTTTAATCAAAACAAACATTATTTTAAGATAAACAGGTGGTGTTTTTTTCACTGTATAGAAGGGAAACTGGATTATGTAGACACGAGCCACCACCACCACCTTCCTGCTCAGAGCTGATGAGCTGGGAGAACTGGAGGCTGGGTCATGGGGGACAGACCTCAGGTCCCAGGGGAGAGAGAATGTCAGACAGAGTCATCTGAAAAGGAGACGATGGGAAGGCCAGAGTTTGCCTGTCACAGTTAACATCAGAAAAGCTGAGTGACAAGTAGGAATCTCTGTACTCTTTGTTGTATTTTGTAAGTGTTTTTGAGACAGGAATGTATACATGGGGAACAATTTTTTAAAATAGCCAACAGGGAACCATAAGCCTCCATCTCCGTTTTACTTGTCCTGCTTCACCAGCCTCCGTCCACACAGCAGTCTCTGTTCCTGGATCTCTTTACATGTGTGAAGAGTATGAGCATCACACACGGATATATGCCCATTTCTTATTTTTTTAGAAGTTTTTCTTATTTTTTCTTAAGTTTTTTAAGTTTAAAAACCTTAAGTTTCTTAAGTTTTTTAAAAATTTTCAATTTATTTATTATTATTATTTTAATAAAAAGTGTAGTATTTTTTAAAGGTTTTATTTATTTATTTTTAGAGAGGGCAGAAGGGAGGGAGAAAGAGAGGGAGAGAAACACCAGTGTGTGGCTGCCCCTCCCATGCCCCCTACTGGGGACCTGGCCCACAACCCAGGCATGTGTACTGACTGGGAATCAAACAGGTAGCCATTTAGTTCACAGCCCATGCTCAATCCACTGAGCTACACCAGCCAGGGCTATTTTTTTTTTTATATATATAGAGAGAGAAAGGGGTAGGGGGTGGGGGAGAGAGAAAAACATTGATTCGTTGCTCCACCTAGTTATGCATTCATTGGTTGCTTCTTGTATGTGCCCTGACTACAGATGACCCTACACCCCTGGTGTAGTGGGACAATACTTTAATACCCAATCAACTGGGCTACCCTACCAGGACTTTTTACCTGTCTCCTTATGTAAATGTAAGCATCCTCCACTCACTGTTTGGCACCTAGCTTTTTAAAGAAAAGTTATAGACTCTGCTCTTTAGAACAATTTTAGATTCACAGAAAAATTGAGCAGTGGTGTACAGAGAATTCCTATGTACATCCCCCCAACACAAACACAGTTTCCTCTATTACAACAGTAGAGGGTGCATTCGTTACAATTAACGGACCAATACTAATACATTGTTATTAAAGGTTATGAATTGAATTGTGTTCCTCACCCAGAAAAGATGTCCTCACACTGGTGCCTGTGAATGCGACCTTATTTGGAAATAAGATCTTTGCAGATGATCATGTTCATATGAAGCCATAGGGTGGTTCTAATCCAACATGACTGGTGTCACATAAGGAGGTGACATTAGGACACAGATATGCACACAGGGAAGGG